TCAAGGTTTATCCATGTTGCATGATATGTCAGAATTTCTTTTCCTTTTTAAGGCCAATATTCTATTGTCTGTATAGACCACGTTATCTTTTTTTTTTTCTTTTTGAGATGGAGTCTCGCTCTGTCGCCCAGGTTGGAGTGCAGTGGCACGATCTCAGCTCACTGCAAGCTCCGCCTCCCGGGTTCACGCCATTCTCCTGCCTCAGCCTCCCGAGTAGCTGGGACTCAAGAGCCCGCCACCACGCCCGTCTAATTTTTTGTATTTTTAGTAGAGACGGGGTTTCACCCTGTTAGCCAGGATGATCTCGATCTCCTGACCTAGTGATCTACCCGCCTCGGCCTCCCAAAGTGCTGGGATTACAGACGTGAGCTACCGCGCCCCGTCTGTATAGACCACATTTCAAGTATCCATTCACTCACTTATGGACACTTCGGTTGCTTTCACCTTTTCACTATTTTGCATAATGCTGCTGTAAACACAAATGTATAGATCAGTGGTATTAAGTTCGAAAGAACTTTATAAAATACTTTTTTTTTTTAGGTGGTTGGTTCTAGCTATTGCCATGGTACGTTTTTATATGGAAAAAGGAACACACAGAGGTTTATATAAAAGTGTTCAGAAGACACTTAAATTTTTCCAGACATTTGCTTTGCTTGAGGTAAGTTTTCCATCATGCTGTTTTTCTATTGCTGTAATATTTATGTGAATATTTTTTTGTTGTGCAAAGTCAATATGATTTTGCTGATTACATACCACCTATGGATTTGCTTAATACCAGTGTTGACAGTGGTTTATTTAATGTTTTCTATTATTGACGTAATGATTTTTTTCTATTTGCTTACAGATAGTTCACTGTTTAATTGGTGAGTTTTTGCTTCAATTTTATACTTTTATTTTAAATTGCCTTTAGGGCAATAGTTGACTTGTTTTTCTTTTTAAGGAATTGTACCTACTTCTGTGCTTGTGACTGGGGTCCAAGTGAGTTCAAGAATCTTTATGGTGTGGCTCATTACTCACAGTATAAAACCAGTAAGTGACACAAACATGTTGTCTGCTTGAGCCTGCAGGAAAGCTTTCCATTCATAGGAATCTAAAATATTGACATTTGTGTATTTCAGGAAGTGGAAGCATTGGACAACAAGGAGCTGGGTTTGAGTTTTAGGTATTGTGCATTGACTTAGTGCCTTAGCAGATTGGTTTTGAAACACAAACAAAACCAAATATTGGCATCTTATATCCATAATATATTCTCGTTTGATATTTTCTAGTTTTTGAAATTAGTATTCAGACTCTGTCAAATAAGCGGCAGAAAATGTTCTTTTCTGTAGAAGTTTCTTTTCAATCCAAGTTGTCCTCTTTGATTATGTAATCAAAGTTGTCAGTATAAAATTTATTATTTCTGGCCAGGGGCAATGGCTCACACCTGTAATCCCAGCATTTTGGGAGGCCAAGGCAGGTGGATCACCTGAGGTCAGGAGTTTGAGACCAGCCTGGCCAACATGATGAAACCCTGTCCCTACTAAAAATACAAAAATTAGCCAGGCATGGTGGCGAGCACCTGTAATCCCAGCTACTCAGGAGGCTAAGGCAGGAGAATTGCTTGAACCC